ACGCTCTTCTTAATGCACCCCAGGATCCCATTGGCCTTCTTGGCCACGAGGGCACACTGCTGCCTCATGGTCAGCTTGTTGTCCACCATGACACCCAGGTCTTTCTCTGCAGAGCTGCTCTCCAGAAGGTCGGTCCCCAGACTGTACTGGTGTCTGGGGTTATTCCTCCCCAAGTGCAGAACCTTGCACTTGGCCTTGTTGAATTGCATGAGGTTTTTCACCGCCCAGTTGTCCAGTCTGTCCAGGTCCCTCTGGATGGCAGCACAACCCTCTGGGGTATCAGGTACTCCTCCCAGTTTCGTGTCATCAGCAAACTTGCTGAGGGAGCACTCTGTGCCTTCATCCAGGTCATTGATGAATAAATTGAACAGGACTGCACCAAAGACTGACCCGTGGGGGGCACCGCTAGCTACAGGCCTCCAACTAGACTCTGCACTGCTGGTCACCACCCTCTGAGCTCTGCCATCCAGCCAGTTCCTAATCCACCTCACTGTCTACTCATCTATTTCATACTTCCGGAGCTTGCCCACATTTCTTACATTCCATTGCCTTCATCTCCTCCAGGCATTACAATGGCAGAGGAATGATCTTGTAATGAAGGCAGCCTTCTTTTCCACTTCCAGCTCTGCACAGAATTCCTTGCATTTGTCAAGTTATTGAGGCTTATCTTTTGGGACTTTTAAACTTTGTTGAAGCTGCCAAGATGCTGTGTATCTGCTGTCCAGCACCTTATTCTTCCTCTTCCAAGACTATTTCAGTTTTTTATGATGTTTTGAGGTCAAAAACAAAAATTACTTTACTAAAAAAAAGAGAGTTTTTACTTCAGTGACTGAATGATCTGTGAATTAGGGAGCCGCTTCTTCAAGGCAAAACATGTGGCTGAGATAGTCAATAAAGGTGAGTTAGATCCATTCCTTACTTGTCCAGAGTGTCAGATCATAGACAAGACAGACATCTCTCCATCCTTTGCAAGACAATTCTAGATGATCTAGAAGTCACTGCGCCAAGTTAGCACTTGGCATATCTCGACAGACTATTGAGTCAGGTCAGTACCTTGTCAGTTGTGGACTGAAGTGACCTAGGCCACAGTCAGCAGAATCAGCATGCCTACCTGCATCCGCTGAAGATCTGCAGCCTTGCTTTCTCTGTGTCCTCTTCCCCATCTGTAAGTAAGTGTTCTCAAGGTGCTCAGCTACAGTGGAAAGGGCAGATAATGCCCCTGACGATTTTTACAGTGATTTCTTAAGGAATCTTGAGCAAATCAGGATCTGATTGGGATCTGCAGCTAGGGGTGGACAATTAGATCAAACCTACTTTGTAATATGCCAACAGTTAGGAAGAAAGTTGTTCTAGGAAACTTAGTATTCTTATTCTTAACTCATTTGTTGTGCTTAACCAAAATTAATACTTGAGTTTCAGAACATAAATTTTAAATTATTATCTCTTCTATTTAACTACTGTAGACATATAAAGGAAACTTCTTCTCACAACTTGTAGAAGAGAACCATCTAGTGAACCAAACTAGTGTATTCTCCCCACTTATTCCCAACTACCGTGTTAATGGGGATGTGAGCTCTTACACAGAGACTTAGTTGCTTTCCACATATCCACAGCATAGACTCATATAATCATTTGGGTTGGAAGGCACCTCTGGGAATCATCTAATCTAGTCTGTCATTCAAAACAGAGATAATTCCAAAGTTAGAGGAGCTTCCATAAGGCCTTATCCTGTTAAGTTTTCACTGCATCCAAGGGTGGAGATTCCACCACCTCTCTGGACAACCAGTGTTTAGCCACTCTTGCAATGAAGAACTTTCATCCATATGCTCAAATAGTATTTCCCATGTTGTAACTTGTGTTTGTTGCCTCTTGTTCATCTTCTTTATAAGCTATATCTCCCCATCTCTCCTTTTCAGGGGTCTGTAGGTTCTCTGGCCTAGACTTTTTTTTTTTTTTTCTGGAAGCCTCTTTTACTATAGGCACATTTTCTAGGATATCACTGTTAGTTTGTTTCATTTTCCTCCCACAGTAAGCTGTCTTAAAAATGGTTTGAATTAAGGCACAGATTTTTCAAGGGAAGCCAACAAAAGTTACGTACTCATATCCCAAAATTTCATTCATCTGCTTCCATCTTCCATGAGCATTTTATTTTTGGAACACTTCTAATGACTTAGGCTTTAGAAATTGCAAAGTACATTAAAAATATTCATTGTTCTTTAGAGCAAAAGCTTTGTATAACTGAGGGAAGGGGCTGAGCCATTCAAATATGCTTGGGGCTGCAAAGACAAACCAAAAAAACGTGCTTGATAATTAGCATGCAAAGGAGCAGTTCCAAGACAGAGAACTGCATGAGAGGAAGATGCTCGATGTAGGCAATAATGCAATCTGTCAAAGCTCCAGGAAAAGCATTGCAGAAAGGTTTTCACATAATGGAAAAAAATGCTCAAAATATAACAAAAACATGTCCAAGTTAACAGAAAATGAAATCTGGCGTCCAAGATAGCATCAATATATATCAAATATATAATGCAAAGACAAGTTATCTAAAGATTATCTTGAGAGTGTACAAGTCTATATGAGCAGCTTTGCACGCTAGCATGACAATGGTAAAACACTAGTAGTACTACAGATTGGAGTCACTTTTAACTCTGCTTTGTCTGTGAACAATGTTTTCTGTTTTAGCTAGAATATTTCTATGAATGTTTCAGGAGTATAAGGACCTGGTTAGAGTTTGGACCCCATTTTTCTATGTATGTATGGACAAGAGTAGACAGACCCTGTCCCAATATGATGGACAGCTGAATTCATAGAAATAGAACATATCGTGGGAGGAGCAGGGAAGCATCAAGCTCATTGTATCAGCAACATGCACTGAGATACAGTTCCAGTCCAGTCTGTTGGACTGAGAATACAGGGGAAAAGGAAGTGTTGCCTGACATCTGTGGAAGATGGGTCAGGAAAGAAGGGTGAGTATTTGAACTAGGAAAGGAGGAAAGGAAGCTTGGAGAAGCAGTTCAAAGAGTATGGGCCAGTGGGCAGGAGATGCAGGCAGAGGCCTCTGCTGAGACTGGTCAGGACCATGGCAGCCTGTCAGTAACCCTGACATTGTCATCTTGAAAGCATTAACAGAGTTTTTTAAAAGACTTATTTCCCTTCATCCTCCCAGGTGCTGAAATTCATCCCGGAGCCTGGGCATTCCCGAAGGAGAGGCAGAACCAGGAACAACATGGCCTTAGTAGATATACAGCTGGATCACCATGAGCGTTGTGATTGTATCTGCAGTTCAAGACCACCCCGATAAAAAAAAAAAAAATCAAGTCAACAAGGCACGCTAATTGCAGCTTACTGGACGTTTACTTTTAAGCAGGATTGCTCTGAGGACCTCTACTCACAAATCAATCGAACTTTGCTACTAGCCTGCCTTTCAATTAGCAAAAATAATTGCTGTGTTTCAGCATAGCTGTGCTGGTTAGTGCCATGGCAGCTAAACAGATATGTTGTAGAATTATGTATCAGCATCCACGAATATAGGATTATGTTTAGCTATAGCTATAGGGTTGAGATTTTCAAAGCTCAGTTACTGGCTTTAACCTTACAATGTCTAACGAAGTTAATCAAAAGCTGGGTAGCTACTTGTGGTAGCTGTCAATGAAATAACATCATGTTTATGCACATCTTTCATTCAAAAGGTGCCTATACTCAAATTCTGCTATCATTTTTACCTGATTTTCTCCCCTAATTGTCAGTAGAGTTTTGTGGGTATAAATGAAGACAGAATTTGATCCCATAAAAATATACATTGCTTAATCCATCTCCTAGAAGGAAATTTCCAGTGAGGAAAGGAACGTCCAATATAGTGAGATATAATGAGGAAAATCCAGGACTTCTATGAAACAGAACTCCAGTAAAATTGAAACTCACTGTTTGTGCTTAGGCAAATGAGATGTTGAAATGCATCAGTGCTTTGCCTGAGCAAGGGCGTTGGTGGTGGCAGGGAGGTGCGGAGGACAGTACTTCTGCACTGATTCCCTGACACCACAGGGACTGTCATCCAGGTTCTTCGAGACTGGGAACAGGAGGGCTCCCAGCAAGACCCCAGATAACCCACTTGTGTTGAGGCTTACTCTGGTCACCTTATTGCTGGAGTGGATTCTGGCTACTTGCCTGCAGTTGATCACAGTTTCACGGGATGAACCCCCTGGATCTGAAAACAAGAGACAGCCCTCACACATTCTCCTCCTGGTAGTTCCAGGAGTACCATGTTTTCCGTAGCAGGCAATGGAGATAGGGCATTTGGTTGTTGAAAATACTGCTTAATTTTGCAGTTGCATTACTGGGAAACTAAACTGTGCTTGAGACTTAATTATCATTATTTGATTTGGGGGGGTTGTTTGTTTGTTTCAAGTAAGAAATATTATAATTTCATCATATATCCATTAATCTTAGTTATCCAAGTTTAGTTGTCTGATTTCAGCTATGTGTTAAACTGTTGACAGTGATTTTTTTTATGGCTTTTTGCTGAGGCATATTAGCTCATTAAGCCATGTCTTTCTGTCATGGAAAATGTGGATCATTTATTAACTTCTACAAAAAGAATATTATTAAACACCACCTCATAATAAAAAAGAACTTTAAATGCTACAGCATAGATTCCTATACCTATTAAAATATTATGAAAGTGCTCTAGCTGAAAAAAGAAGAAAGGTCCTTCCAAACTAACTTTAAATGTTTTAAAATACTGCTGCAAAAATTGTTTGGTGTAAATCACAGGCAGTTTTAAGTCTGGAATAGAATTGGACTTTTGATCATGAATGTAATATTCATTACGTGTGCGAATGGGGTGGTACATTTAATGACTGAGATTTTATTTTTATTTTTAATAGCAGGCTCAGGCTGCATCAGTTGTTTTTGTGTGTGTTGCCTCTTATGTTTCTGCCTCTCAGAAAGAGCGAAGTAGTTTGACAATAGTGTGTCCATAATTAGTGAAATCTGGCATATACTATAGTACTGAGAACCTTTAAGCCATTCTGTCTCAGTAATCTACAATATAGCAATAAATGTGCCCTAATGTTATAACTTAATCTCTTTATCAACTCAAGTATTTTGAGTGCTCTATCTTGTATAATTTTAGCAAAACTTTCCTGAAGCTTCCCTGAGAAATGTTGTATTACTTTATTTCCTGTACTTTAACATTTGAGATTCAAAATGTGTGGGGTTTTATTATTTATATTAATTTTTCCTCTCTGCCTCCCAGATGTCTATTTAAAAATGCACTTGAATGTTGAGTTGGGAAGTGATTCATCATTTTTCAAAGCAATTCAAGTTTAAAAGAACAGCCCTGTAACCAAAGATTTCCAGCTTCATTTCTTATTTTGGGGCTTTTTAAAAAGACTTCATTCTTTTCCTGTCTCTAGTTTAATAGCAAGTTTGACCCAGCCTTTCCATAACAATTAGTTAATTTTGGAAGAAGTGTGTTTTCAAGACCATGACACTAAATTGTTTTTGAGACAGCTGACTCTCTGTAATGGCTGTTCCTGACTGAATGGGGTGTAAATGTGATCCAGAAACTCTCTAGTCTAATATTTGTCATTGGTTGTAGAACACATCAGTTTCGTGTGACTTTTTGCTTAGGGTGGTCCATTGATTCACATTTCTCCAGGGAAATTGTGTACCAGGCATTCTTCTGTGGATTTATGCATGTTCCCAGTGGAGTATTTCTGGAGGGTAGTTACTGAATTTTGGGGATACAGCTGCAGCTAGGAGCCTAAATTATCCCCAGGTAATTCTGTAGACCCTCAGGGTCAAATCACCCAATATGAGAGTTTTTCTCTCTCTGGTAGATACCCAAAAGCAGATGATGTGAATGCCTGCTTGAGAGGCTGGTCAACTGAACTAGATACAGGTGACAGTGGATAACAGGACCCAGCAGAAATTCAGTGTAAACCAAAAAAAAAAAGAGAGAGATTGGTATAATAGCAGTTGTCCTCTTGCTTAATTTGGGGTTAATTTTCTCTAAATATAAATTAAAATTGTCAGAAATTTTAGTCTTTCCTCTAAGACACATAGCAGTGAATAGGAACCACAGAGTAGAAGTTACTGCTTCTCGCTACCATCTCCTATAAAGACAGTGACTTCTGTGCTCCATATCAATGCCCTTTTCTAAGGGTTCAAGTATGGGCTTAGTGTTGCAGGGTGAGGGATATATGTAGAATAAATAAAGCTGTAATATACATGTAGAATAAATAAAGCTCTCAGATCCCAGGCCCCAGGCTGAAATGTCCCTGATGAAATCAAATACCAGCAAAACTTTGTGTTTTTTCTATTTATTGACAGAAGTTGCAGGGATGTTTTTCCATGCCTTTATTTTCTCTTTGTAATAGTTGCTATGATGTTTATATCTTGTTTTAACTTAAGAAATGCTGTTGTTAAAAAAGCTAATCTGTTTCATCTTTAGTGGTGGAATTGGAACACCTCCCTCTAAAAATTAAGTATGATTTTCAAAGGAACCTCAATTACATTTCTAATTTCAAGCCACTTGCTAGCTTTTTATTTAGTATAGTTTTCTGGGATAGAGCCTACTTCATCAAGTGCAATTTATATATTTTTTGTTATCTCAGTTAAATGCAGCTTTTCTAGCAGTATTTTTTACTCAATGCCATATGTAAGATGTGTCTTATCCTGATGAAAAAATAAATAATGCTTTTGAAAGAAGATACTCTGAGTGATTAGTCAGATTTCAGATGAACTGAAAGTATGGTATGAGGACACTGCCACAACTTCACATTGCCACAACATAAGACCGTCCATGGTAGGTATCCTTGTGTTTTTAGAAGCACTTCCCATGAGTTGCTTTGGAGTTCTCCATACATCAAGGAAATCCAGAAGTGCTCTCTGAGGATGGCCCAGTGTGAACCCTAATTCAGGAAGAGCTGACAGGTTTCTTTTGAAGAAGCAGCGGTGGTGACAGTGGCACAATGGTCCTGATGCCTCTTCAGCCACCATGACTAGGATGCTCCGAGCAGCTCTGAGCCTCAGCAGGCTTGGAAGCCTCCTGCCACCGCTCTGCATCTCTCACGCAGCAGGGCAGGAGCTTCATCTGCCTGCTGAGTGCAGGGCAGCTGGGTCCAGCTCCCTGGGAAACTTTAACTTACCTAGAGTCAGATGTCTTTCCAGGTTTGGGGACAGCAGAACAGGAACCATTTGGACCATAACTTTCATTTAAAGGTTCTCTTTTCAAGCTAATGCCTGCATTAGGCCTTCATTGGTTCTGGCACGGAGTAAGGACATCAAAGTGTTTCCAAATTAATTCTGCACTAGCTTGTCCTGTCTGATAAGGGGAACAACAGCCAGGCTGCCGTCTGAGTACCCAGCTTGGCAGCCCTCCCTCACACCTATATATGCCTTACTGGCCAGGCTGGTATCACTGATCAACATGGTGAATAGAGTATTTTTAACCATTTCAGGTTAAAAGCATCTCCTTACTCAAAGAAAAAAATCATTTTGGTGGAGAGCCGGGTGGTGGAGAAGATTTTGCCTCACAAAAGAAACGTTTCTCTTGCCCACAGTGATCAAAGACACATTCGTTGATTGAAGGAGACACTTTTTTCCCTTCAGAAATGTGCTGCAGACAGTGCAGACGGCAGCTGAGCGATTGCAGCCAACCGTCCAGCAGTGGCATTCAGCTCTTCCAGCCCAGCCCTGCTCAGCAGCTACACAGCTGAGGGCTGCTAACAGTGTCACACTGTCCTTGTGCTGTACCTGAGTCACAGCTTTTGCAGAACTGCAACATGAAAAGCAGCTCGATGCCCCTTCAGCAGAAACATCATATGGTTCCGGTTCCCATGTTCACTCAGTGAGCCATTTGCATGCTTTAACACAATATACTTTTTAAATATTCCTTTTTTTCATTTTAGAAGACAAAATCTTTTCCAGTTGATTTTATGATCTGCAACCTTGGTAAAAATACTTTCCTATGAATTCATTTAAGATTTCCCTTGCTCTTTTCTTGAGTGCATTACCCAGTCATACGGCTCTAATGCTAATTCAACAGATGTCCAATTTGTTTGTATTCTCTCAGGAACTCCAGTACAGCAGTTAGTTAATGAAAATTCAAAAATTAGTATTCTGGTCTCTCATTCCAGGAACTATAACTTTGCTTATTGATAATCTTGATCAAATGTGCTGAAATATTTAACATAATTTATTTGTATGTGCATTGGCCTGCCTTGAATGCCTGCCTTAGGTGTTTAAAGTGGAAATTAGATTTTCTATTTCTTTTCAAACATTTCTTCAAAGAATGAATTTCCAAACCAGAAATATTCTAGAATAAACAGTAGGAAAATTAAATTTTAGATTTTACACTAACTTATAAAACTGATTTTAGTTAAGACTTTTTCTAAAATTAATTTATAGATGCCAGAAAATATAATTCAAAACTGCATGAGTTTTTCAAAAACAGTTCATTTACATATTGCTTATAAAAAGCTACTGCTATGCTGGCATACTTTAATAAAAATGGAACTAGTTGCATAATAAGAGTTAATATATTAAATGCTCCAATTTGAAACTGACAAAGATTTTCTCCTTCAATTGAAATAATTTTGATTCTGAAGAGAACTGGATGAAAAGAGCCGGGTACTATGTACTTCTTTCATATATTCTGGTTTAAGGGCTGGTGTCACAACAACAAAAAATCATTACACCTTTTACATAGCATTTTGCATTAGATAAATAATGAGACAAAACATCTTAACTTTTTTGCTGTGTTTTTGACTCTGGAGGGTATCATCATCAATAGTTGGTGCACTCAGATGAGCTTTTTTAGCTCAGTTTGAAATCAGTTTACCTTGTCTGAGATGCAGATGGCCCAGAGAATTTGTATTATTACTATCTTGTCAAAGAAAGACTCTCTCTACCCATTGGCACAGTAAAGTATTTTTACCGCTTTTCTTCAACAAACAAAACACCCAAACCAGTTTGGTATGGTAATATGATATTTCTACACCAACCTAGTGTGTAAAGAATGAAGTTGCCACCTCCAAACACAAAGAGCTGCCATGTACCACCCAACAGCAGTGGGAAACCCTCTTGAGAGGTGACTGGCTGATAAAACAAGGTTGCAGGCCAAACACAAGCCTCTTAGGGAGGCGTTTTGTAAAGGAAGGTAATCCAGCTCCTGTTCTTTACTCTGCAAATATACTTGTTTTTCTCCCAGCTCTTCATCAAATGTACTGTTGGTGTGAATCTGTGGGTGAGGTGAAACCAGGGGAGGCAATGGGTGGCTTGGATGCCTAAGAACAGGCTCACAGGACGGATCTAATGCCACTTGCTGGGGATCCACGCTGTATATACGTATGTATGTTTTATGCGCATGGGCTTTCACCTCGATCAGCCAGAGAGGGGACAAGGATGAGGCGTGAGGTGCAGTTTATGTGAACGCTGACTGTGCAGCAGCCCCGCATGTGCATGTGCATGCAGAGGCTGCATACACAGCGTATGCACCCAGCTGGGTGCCCGTGGGACATGAGTGCGTGGAGGTGCAGCAACCTTGCCTTGAGCAGCATTGTGGGACCCAGCAGCCCCTCACACAGTGCAGCCAGGCATCCCCAGGGAAGCTCCTTCATATTGTGAAGAGTGGAGAATGTAGCGTTTCTCAGCTTCTGAATGGATTTTCTCATCAAAATCAAGTAATAAGAAAGAAAATGGTCTTCCTTTGCACTGCAGTACACAGACTGGGCTGCAGCAGAGCCTCCAGAATATTCTCCACAGCATGGAGAGTACCTGACATAAAAGAGGGCTACATTAAACCATTCTGCTATCTGACAGATGGCATTCATCGCAACCTTTACATTAAAACACCAGCCCATGGATTCTGCTGCTAATTCACTTCAAAAGGTCATGCAAGGATTTGTGTGCCCTCAAGGAATAGGTTACTATATATACAGTAAGGAAGCTACAATCTCAGTATTCAAAGAATCGCACATAGGCAAAATGCTGCAATTTTCCCAGTTAAGCTGTATCTGAACATCAATTACACACCTGATTATTAAATGAAGATAAGCCTTCCTTGAAAGGCTTCCTTGAAAGACTGATGTGTTTTCAATTAAATTGAAGACACTTGGGTCCAAATTAAAACCCTGACAAAAAAAAAAGGTAAGCAAATTAGCTTCACTGAGAAAAGTAGTTAATGCTTACCAGAAATCTTCAGAACTGAACAATGCTGACTAAGTCAGCAATTTTTAGTAATTGAAATGGAATCATCCTTTAAAAGCTTTTTTGACATAAAGCTAATTCAAGGAGCAATTGAAAACTAGCCCCTGCATTTTGATATCACCAGCCACTTGTTTTGGCCAACATCAAGATTGCTTTTTGTATTTTATCTGATCATGTCTGACTGGCATATTAACAAGGTACACACTAGAAACTTTAATGGAATAGTAAAACTGCTATTCTATGCCCTTCGCAGCAGTGCCTATTGTGAACAGAGACTAAAGAGCACACCCACATAAGAGTTAATATGCACATGCAAATGTCTTAATTAAAATAAAAATGTTCAAGTGGTTTGCATATACACTGCAGGAGTTTGTTTTAAATGTGTTTAAAGACAGCAATTAGTTTCTAGACTTAGAAATACAGTGTTTTGTATTTATGTGCGACTGTATTCTGTACTCATCAATAGCTGGCAAAGTGATAAAACCTGTGGTTGTGAGGCATCAGCTAAAGTAGCTGTTATTCCCATTCATCCTTCCCCAGCATTTTCCACTGAAGTACGACCCTTTAAAGTACTGAATTTTTGATAGTTTCTGGCACTGGCCCTCAGGAACAAATAAGTAGACACTCTATGACTGGTTTGATCAAAGAAGCTACCTGATATAGTACCTTGTTTAGCTTGTCAAAAAAAGCTGACACACAAAATGGTTGCTTGCTCTTTATTAAAGCTTCGTAAACTGAAGGACTATGTGGGCATAAGATGCGAGAGGCAAAAGCTGCATATGAAAAAAAAAATGTGGCCTGGAAATCTCAGAGATCATGCTGAGCCTTTTAACTTGGAAAAAAAATGTGGAAGATGCATACTCTGATAACACTGAGTCATGGTGAGTATGGTCATTCAAAATAACAAACTTATATTTACTTACTTACTTTCCCATGAGTGTAGAATGCCTGCTGTTATTAGCAAATAATTGAGAAATTTGCTATACATTGTAGTTAGAATAATCATCTATTTGATATAGAATCACAGAATGGTTAAGGTTGGAAAGGACCTCTGGAGATCATCTAGTCCAACCCCCCTGCTCCAGCAGGGACACCTAGAGCAGGTGGCACAGGGTGGCATCCAGGCAGGTTTGGAAGATCTCCAGAGAAGGAGACTCCACAACCTCTCTGGGCAGCCTGTTCCAGGGCTCTGTCACCCTCACAGGAAAGAAGTTCTTCACATGGAGATGGAACTTCCTGTGTTTCCGTTTGTACCCATTAGCCCTTGTTCTGTCACTGCCACCACCGAGAAGAGTTTGGCCCCATCCTCCCTATATTCACTCCTAAGGTGATCAGATCTCCTTTCAATCTTCCCTTCTCTGGCCTAAACAAGCCCAGCTCACTTAGTCTTTCCTCATATGATAGATGCTCCAGTCCCTTCATCATCTTTGTCGCTCTACGCTGGACCCTCTCTAGAAGCTCAATGTCCTTCTTGTCCTGGGGAGCCCAGAACTGCACCCAGTACTCCAAACGTGGCCTCACCAGAGCTCAGTAGAGGGGCAGGATCCCCTCCCTCCACCTCCTGGCAACGCTCCTCCTGATGCAGCCAGGATCCCATTGGCCTTCTTGGCCACGAGGGCACATTGCTGCCTCATGGTTAACTTGTTGTCAACCAGGACTCCAAAATCCCTCTCCACAGAGCTGCTTTCCATCAGATCAACTCCTAATCTGTCCTGGTGCCTGGGGTTATTCCTCCCCAGGTGCAGGACCCTGCACTTGTCCTTGTGACCCTCATGAGACCCTCATGAGGTTCCTCTCTGCCCAACTCAACTGTATATGATACTGTATAAGATATATCACATACTGTATATGATATAGTACATTGCATTTTGGTTTTAGTTAGTTAGTTTGTTTTTACAATCTCAGAAAGGTTTCTGAACAATTTCTTTTCTAGATTTCATTTCAAGCAGCTTCTCCCTCTTCATTTATCAGCAAGAATGTAATGTCTAGTCATATGTATTTTGCTGTTAAAGCAGAAAATATGTTAATCTGGTTTCAAGAATTCTTGCTTCATTTTCATATCATGTTTGTGCATTGATTACACATGGCTAATGCTAGAAAATAATCTTGCAGTGAGTCTTTGACCTCTAGACCTAACAATGTTAAGAGAGCAGGTAAGAGGCAGCATTTCTCTAGATGCACATCTGTTTGGCCAGCCTACATTCCTCGATTCCTTCATCCACCTTTCCTGGAGAGAAGCAGGTTCATGTTGGCCATAGTTCCTCTCATCTTAACGTAGATGTCTAAATTAGACCAGGAAAGGTGGACAAAAAAAAGCACAAGCACGCCACATCACAATGAAGCAGAAGATCATTTCAGAACAAGTGTCACAGCTGTCAAGTCCCATGCTCAGTTCCTAATGCCTGCAATTAATGAGCCAGTGACACCATGGGAAGTGGAGATTAGTGATACACAGGGAGAGCAGCTCATACAATTTAATTCAGAGGGGAACTTTACGTCTTGCTTTGGTTGTGAG